TTAAGCAGTAACTTAGCAGTCCTTCAAGCAAATACTTCAAATAAGTATCATAAGTAAGTCTTAAATTAAAAGGGATTTTGAGGCAGAGTTCCGAGATAGGAACTTACCTGAGACCACTGGGACTTCTGCCATTTTCTCCCGTGCACTCTATTTTTATTTCTTACTGGGAATTGATTGTCAATGTAACGAAGGCAGTTCTTTGCAAATGTAGATCATAAGCACCGTAAAATTAAATGTTGTGTTTTAGTGTTTAGTGAAACAAAAGCAGGCAGTGCAATCCATACAAGTTTTGGTGCAGACAGCGTTTGGCCTCCTTGATCCCTGCAGGTAATACTGGGTTTTGTTGTTCTGTAGGTGTGTGCAACTCTTGGGTTGTGTGGCCATGCCAGAGTGTGGTTTATGGGTGTCACCAGTAAACTGCTATTAGTGCTGATGCAGGCGTCCAAATAAAGGTGAACAATTTTGGTTTACCACATTCTCAAAAGAAGGAGAGAATTTCTTGCTTTTTCCAGTTGACTTATATATAAGATAAATTAAGTGGCATTCTCGCTTTGTGCACTTAGACAGTTTAGTAATGACAAACCTTAGAGCCGGTACTTTTGGGTGATCTAAATAGGAGTTAAATTTTGGTCAAACATTAAAATGTGATTGTTTAAGGTATAGCTCTGGGGTTTTGGTGAGTCACTGTCATGAGTGGGAGGGTAACACAGGCTCTTTCAATCTAGGTTTGTGTGTGTGTACACACCGCATCCACACGTCGGATGGGCCAGGAGGGAGAAGGGGTGGAGGAGGAAAGGTAAAGACCCTGTAATAGTCCTCGGGAAAATCCCATTTTATCGGAATGGGAGACATGAAATGTTTCTGCCTATACCAGGTATTACAGTGTGTTTATCTGAAATCATCAAATTTTCAAGTTTATGTCCACAGTGCATACCTGATGGGTTTTGTAGTCAGTTGAGTTGTTAGATACTGAACCACGTGTGCTCTGGATACGGTGGTGGAATAAATTTCTCATACGTGTGGGACTGTAACCGTTAAAACAATCATTACTGAAACCATATACCTTATTTCCTGTAACTAATAGCAGCTCTCCACCTATGGAATATATTAACAATTATTCCTTTGGTTTTGGATTATTGCTCAGCTATTTTGTTGGACAGATATTTAAACACGATCTGTAATTTATGTTGTCTGAACGGAGCTAATTATGGCTTTCTGATGCGAGCTATGCTAATGTTTGTGAAACCACATTTCTGTTTATAAGACAGAGTGAATGTGTGTTCTTTAATAAATCATGGAAAATGATGAGTTTTCTCTACCTAGATTGGTTAACAAAAACACTTTAGTTGGTGTTCACCTAGAGCTTAAAAAGAAGCCATGGGTTTTGTGGCTAGTTGAACACTTAATTCTTCCGTGCTATTAAAGTAAATATTTATTTATTACTCTGTATAGGACTCAGAATTTCTTTTAGAGGAAAGATATTGGGTCAAACAGCAGTGGCCCATTTAAGGACTCCATCACTTGCCGTGCAGTAGAGCTGAAGCAAATGACAAAAGTCCTGGGTGGATGTCACTGTGAGATGCTGGCTTTGGGACAGCACCTCATTAGCTACCAAAACGTCTTGGTGCTTCAGTATACCTCTGTATTAGTCATGTCATTTTTGACACTACTTGGAAGGATTTACTTATTTCAGATAGTTTCTTATTAATGTGTATCCTGAAGGATGTGCTGCTACGTACGGTATAGGCAGGGTAACAGATCGTGCAAGCAAAGGGTGCTGCAGCCCTGCGGCTGGGCTTGAGATGTTAGAGGAACACCCAGGAGTGCTGGCTCCGGAGAGGAAGCGCTGTAATGAGAAACGGGAAGCAGTTCTGGTTTTCGAATATTTGTTGTTTTCTTTGAAATGGGGAAAAGAATACCTGCAGTGATTTATATCTAATTGAGGATTGCATTCCATCAGATACGGTGAATGTTCTCAGGCCATTTATCAGCTGGGTCTTTTCAAGACCTCTGAGGAGTATATGGTACATATTTACCTTCACTTGGCTAGGTCAAGGGAAATCAAAAATAATAGATGGGTTTTTTGTATGTGAACAAAACTGGAAGTCATGTGGGTGAAATATGAGGTAAATGACTGTGTCCTACCTCCTCTATGCCGTTTTAAATACAAGAAATTATTAGTTTTATATAATAAGATTTCCTTCGCGTTATCACTATATCTTTTTAAAATAGAAGATTTATTGACTTTTTCATTGCGCCAGCTTAGTCAATCCCTGAAGTCGATGTGACATATATTGTCCTGCCATTACTCTTTAGTAGTTTCATATTTAGGTAGCTTCTTGTGAAAAACAAAACAAGAACAAAGCATGCCAGATACTGCTCCTTACATAACATTTTTTTTTCTAAATTTGATGTATATTGCTTGTAATTTATACAGATCATACAACACTAGAAGCCTACAAGTGCTAGTGACGATTTTAGTGATTTTTAGGACCTAAAATGTTTCTGGGGAGCGAGAGCTTTGTAAGAAAACCTTTGAGCTTGAGATTGTCTCTGAAAAATGTGCCATGGCTGCTTTTCACCCTCTTGTGCTGCTGCCGTGGGGTCTACGAGTGTTCTTGTGAAGAATTACATAGCAGGAGCCATCTAACGCCGCTCCATGATGGAGCCACAATTTCAACCCTGTTTCCCAATGTAAATAGCCAAAATGAGTTTATTGTATGGCAATATTTGTGTAATATTTGCACAACGTTTGTTTGTGGTTTTTTTTAATAGATCTAAAGGTAGGGTAAATGCAGAGTAACCTAAATGTCAGGATCTTTAAGCAAGAAGGAAACCTGAGAACTGAAAAAGTCTCTTACCGTCAGCACGTACAGTCATTCTCTGTCCCCATAAGGGATGTACAGTGAAAACTGTTGCAAAATAAAACCAAAAAGCACATTGTCGACTCAGCTAAACCTAGCGACAAAACTGGTTTCAGAACTAGTCTGATGAAGTGCAATTTGATCAGATATTTCATGAACGAATTACTTTATTACTGATACCGCTAATGATTTGTAAATTAACTGTAGCTCATTCTCCCTGAGTTACTGACTCAGTGGCATTTACCAACTTTTCACATACCCCCTTTTTTAGGGGCTGAATTTGCAAAATGCTTCCCTCTAGTCCTTTGAGTTAAATTTTCGGTGACATTTGATGACAAGCATAGCATGATTAATTACAAATTGTTCTTTAGGTGAATAGTGCATCTTCTAAAACACAGCTTGTGTTTTTATAGCAGTTATTACCCTTCAGGCTCCAAAAGGGCTTTGGAGTAGAGACTATGATTTCGGTTACATCATTGTAAATTCAGAAAACGTCAGTGATCTCAAAAGTGTGATTTTTGAAATTAGGTCAGTGGAAAAGAGATCAGAATCTGCATTGCTACCTGAAAAGAAGCAAGCTCCAAAATGGAGTGAAGTTTCTGCTTCCAGAAGGCATATTTGTCCAAAAAAAAAAAAAAAAAAATTTGAAACAGTATGGGGGAGTGAATAATAGAGCAAATTATAACCTGAATCTAAACTGGATTATGGCAAGAAAGAGCACAGAATACTTTTTCTCTTGCTGATTGATCTGTAATGACCCAGGAGATCTACATCACTCTTTCAGCTTGCACCATGATGGGCCAATGACTCAAAGCTATCAAGAGGTTTCTTATATTTTGTCTTCCAATTAAATTTATTCAGTGTTTGGTTTTCTGTTGCTGGCTAGTTGATCTTTTGATAAGCTATGGTGCACTTGTACAGTGGGTTTTGTTTGTTTGTTTGTTTTCTACCCTCTGATTACAGCATACATAATGTCTTTAACCTGAACTTGAATTTAACTAAATTTCAAGACTGAGGTGGTGACTGAGATTTTCTGGAGAGCATGTTGTTCTCTGTTGAATTCTCACTTCTTGTCACCAGAGGGTTTGAGAAGATAAGGATTACAGTTTGAAACCACTAGAAATTACTAGTCAGGAAATGATGTACGGTCTTGCAATATCCAGCATCAAATATGAAGCCTGAGCTAGTAAGTTTAGGAGAGAGTCCTCCCTTGTTAGGGTATGTTGAGAAGGAAGCCATAGAGAGGCAGTCATGGGTGATGAATACATCTCAGGGTTTTGTTTTCAACTTTTGTATGAGATGGTTTTACTTGAAGCATCTGAAAAGCAGCTTTTCAGTACCCCGAGTCTGTGACTCATGAAAGAGGTGAGCAATAGTCACAGTGTTTTCATCTTTCCCTTCACTTCGGGCAGCACGTTTTGCATCCTGTTTGTGAGCGGCTCTGGCTTCTCATCTGAGAGCTTCCTTAAGCCTGCAATACTGTTCTCTTCCAGCCATTTCGGAGTATTAAAAAAAAAAAAAAGACATAGTTTACATCTCCTGGAGTGCCTGAGCACGTGGCTCGGGTGGTGATCCAATCTCCCAGTGGTACAGGAGAGAGTCTTGGGGTGATGCTCAGACTTTATTTCCCCAGGCTGCTCTCTGGCTTTAAGTCACTTCTCCAAATTACTGGTATGAGGAACTATTGGGGCTGAAGTGTGTTTGAATTGTTCTTTAGTTTTATCTAGCACCAGGAAAAAGGGGGAAACCTATATAAAAATGAATAAACTCCTTACTAACCTATCGAAGAATTGTATGTATTTAAGAGTTAGTGTGTAAATTAAAGCTGCTTTTAAATATCTGATTGAAAACAAAACAATAAATTCAAAATACAGCTTTTTTTAAGTCCTGCATGTTCTGATTCGTTTAACAATTACAGTATCTCGTAATGATTGAAACTAATAGGTGTGATAATTTTATCATAATTGCTAAGTAGCCTTTTCTGAAGTAAACTCATTAATATAATATGAAAGATTAATTTCATGTGAAAACTGAAGACGCTGTACAGCCTCTCAATAGGTTTCTGTTTTTTTAATATAGTTAAAAAAAAAAGAAAAGTATTCCTAAAGTAAAATATTTCTCTATTGTCATTTTCAGAATCTAAAAGTCCTTGGAAAATGAGTGTTCTTCTCATTGAAGCCTTTTATGGTGGTTCCCATAAACAGCTGATGGATCTTCTCCAGGAAGAGCTACAAGAAGACTGTGTCCTCTGTACGCTCCCTGCCAAGAAGTGGCATTGGAAAGCACGGACTGCTGCTCTTTATTTCATGCAAACAGTGCCTGCAAGTACTAAATACAGGTAACCCAGGAACTGAATGATTTCTAAGCTCAAATTACAGAGAGGCCTTCAACCGGGTATCTTGAGCTAAATCTTTGGTTATGTGCATGCAGGTGTATATGAGCAACCCAGTGGAGACTTGCAATGGAACAATATAAGTTTTTCTTCTTTCATTGACTTCTTGGGATATAATCTGGAAATCACTGCCATGTTTTAGGGTTCTCTATAGACTATTTTGTCTTGCATTGTGAGTCCCTGAGAGTCTCTAAGAGTGCAAGTGTATGGGGACTTGTTTGTGGATGTGTACGCATGTGTATGTACATCTTCTGTTAAAATTATCAAGTGATTTCAGATTAGGCTGAAAGATGGCACAGATGTAAACACTGCAAGCTTCCTCACTTACCCTCTGATGTATCTATTGGCGAGTCTGATTTATCAGAGAGTGCTATTCAGGCTGACCTGGAGGATTAAGGGAGCAGTTTTATCTTAATGACGGTCCAGTTCCGTAATGTGCCAGCAACTGTGGACGTCAATTATGCATTTATGTAAGTGGCAAATTTCTATCAGCTAGAACCTGAACTGATAAAAGCAGACTATTTAGGTCAGCAGATAGCTATCACATAGAGAGAATCAGTCACTCCAGAACCAAGCTGTCTTTAAGCCCAGCTATTTGGTTTGGCCTACCTGATCACTTGAGATGTGGGAAGACAGTTGCCTTGAGCGGTGACGCAGCACGTGGTGTGGTGCATGCTCTGCTCGGGGCACGCTGCAGAGCATCACGGCGTGGGTAGTACATCAACACTCGGTTGGCTTTGCACCTTCGTGGGTAGAGACTGTTTGGGCACAGGGATGTTTTAGCCCGAGCAGCTGCTTTTCAGCCACAGAATGAACTTGAGCAGGACCCTGAGCTCACCTAAATGATGTGCTAACTAGTTACAGTTCAGAACTGAGTCTGAGGTTTGTCACCAGGAGCAAGTAGACCTAGCAGGCTGGGGAAGGAATGTGATTTTTCAAGAATAGATCTTGTGCTATAGAAGGCTTCATTTGAACAGTGTTACCCAACACAATGTCTAATCCGTTTTGGGATGCTTACTATATTATAAACGTCCACCTTTTCTGTGCCTGCTTCTGGCTTGCATTTAAAATAAGCTACCATCCCAAGCCAAATGTTATAATTAATTTTCCCCGGTTTGTCTTGTGCGAGGCATTTAGCTTTGGTTTCCTATTGCTTTCCTTTCGCAACAATTTTGTTTTGGAGGAGTGTGTATATGACAAACTGTTATGTAAATTTGTCTTGTATCGCAACCACATCCTCCAACGCATGGCAATGTTATCTGTGTTCCTTCAAGGTCAGCAGCCCAAGCTGTCCAGCACTAACTGTATTAAACTAATCAGACATCACTCATAGACATACACTTCATTAGTTTAACTTACAGTTACATTGACCTAAGATAACTTCACTCCAATTTGTCAAATAACCCACATCTTGGGGGAAGGGGGGAGGGAATGATGACCAAAAAAAAAAAACAACCAACAACCAAAAACCCCACAAAAAACACAACCCAACAAAAAAACCCCCTCAACCCAGCAGCTTGAAAACTCACTTGAAGTTAATAAACTTGCAATCTGTCATAGACTTATGTGCAAATATAACCTTTACTGACAGCAAATAAATCTGATCTAACCAATGGAGCATCTTAAAGAGAGGAAAGCTTTTTCTTTGCTGTTGCTGTTAGGGTTTGATCAGACAGAATCGAATAGTCAAAGTTGACAAAGATGCGATGTTTAAAAAAGTGTGTACCTCATCCTCGCAGGCAGAATAAAATTTTAGGAACAAGGGCTGATGTGACTGGTGAGAGGAAAACTGATTAGAGGTACCTTCTACTTTACTTGCACATTTTTGATGTTTGTTTTGTAATTGAATGTTTCAAGTATTTTATTAAATTGAAAGTATAAGTGCATCAGACTGCAACCTAATGAGGCTGAGTACTCCTATTAAAAAAACCCATTGATTAAAATTAACATTGATTCTTCTATTTCTAGCTTGCTAGTAAGCACAAAAGGTCTGCTTCCCAGGTAGTAGTTTAAGACTAAATTCTCATTGCAAACTGGCAGGAGTGTGTGTTTTGAATTACACATTTAAATATTTCAACCTTCTTGTGAGGTCATGGGAAATACCAAATTTGCATTATTTATAATATTGACATTATTTGTAGAATAAAATTTTTCTTTTACAAGTGATTTTCATAAATGTGACATTTCATAAATACCTTGTTTCTATTTGTGTGTTTAATAATAAAGAAGGGTCACAAATATTTTGAGTGCAAACACTTGGTAACGGAGCTGCATTACTAAATTGTTCTTTTCAAACTGTAATTTATTTCAGGATGCTGGTATGTATGAGAAATAATACTGATACTAGCAAGTCTAATAGTGCTATACATCTATACAGCAGTAGCACACATACGTATTAAGATCTATACTTTTATACATACAAGCTGATGATGGGAAGGAAGCAGTTTGTTAGTTTTCAAGGGATGTTCAGTGAGTTAAGGAACAATCTTAAAGCACTTTTGAAGCAGAGCATACAGTGCAGAGACATAGATGTTAAATTCAGATACTTTGCAGTGACCAGGGAGTTTACGTGATGAACTTGCAAATACTTCTACTGGAGACATGTACTCCCTTCAGCAAGAATTAAGGCTGAATTGATAAGGAGTTGTGCATCTAATGTTACTTTTGTGAACAGCGTGGCCGATATCTTGATGTACAACAACATTACGTTCCTGTGCAAGAGTGGGGGGATCTACCCAGAGTTGTCACAGGGAGAAGATGTCCTCACCCTTCAAGAGGAACACATGTAGCTATTATGGAACGTTTTGGACACTTAGTATTTTATGAGCAACATTGCATGAGTTTTTATTAGATCCCTGATGCTAAAGCTGTGCTGTGTTTCTCTAAAAAAATGTTGCTTTTCTGTTTTTGTGGCTTCGTTGTGCAGTATGTCATTAAACCAGCTCACATCTTCATTCATCTCCTTAAAGGAGGACAGAAGCCCTCATGAACGGGGAAGATCAGGCACGTGGCGAGTCCCTCCAGCTTCGAAGGCCATCAGGATAGTTTTTAAAGGTGGCTTACTTGGCTAGAAAACTTGTAATGGTCTAATATATTGATGTACAGCAGCCACAGAACTGAGCGTTTTAAAGAGCTTTCTTAATTGCTGTACAGACTCATGTGATTTTTTTCCTTAATTGGAAAGAAGGTGTCTCTTTGCACATTGCATTAATACAAGGAGTTTCATCCTTGTGATGGCAATTTCCAAATCACAGCATTTGGAACGTACTGAAACAGGGCAGAATTACCCTCTGCTTTCTCTAGACAAGTTTCTGAGCAGTTACAGAGTTGTTTTAGCAGTTGATGGAATATTATAATCTTCATTCCGTAAATTAGGAAGGTCCAGCAGAGAGACGTGACCTCCCCAGGCTGCTGGCAGCCTGCAGGGCTGCTGCGTTGTCTGCTTTGTCTCCCAACTTGCTTCAGACAGCTTAAACTCTTTGATAAATGTAGATGTCTGATCTTGTCTACAGTTGTTTTCCATAGCACGTAGTGACTATTTGGTAATTCTAGAAAGCACGTAACAAAAAAGAGTAATTTTAGCCTTTTCTTTTATTCTTAATTCAATGAAAGTTCTCGAATTTGAAAATACAGTTGCACAATTTAATAAAAAAAAGAGGTTGCTTTTCTTTTTTATTTTATTCTGTTCTTTATTACCCTGAACGATCTTTTAAATTTCAAATAATAAAACAGTTGATATGATGCATTAGATGAAAGCGTTTTATATTTTAGGGACTGTCCTCAACAGAAAGTATTTCAAACCCTGAGAAGTTAGTAATACGAGTTAGATCTGCAAAACGGAGAGACTAAACTGGGTGTAGCTTCCAGTTCGTTTTAATAGCACTGCTAGATTATTATATATATATATATATATATATATATATATAAAAATATATATAAATATTATGTGTAGCATTCAGTATTGCCCCCCAGGTAGCTGTTCATATGAATAAAGATTTTATTTGTAACAGGCTCTAGCCCTAGGGTAAATGTTAGCATATATATACCCCTTGATATCTGACAACTATATTTTAAAGACAAACTCTCTGCTTTTTACATTTTACAAAAGAGAAAGCAAATCATTGTTTTCAATTAATAGAGCTCTGAAAAAATCCAAACCTGGGGGGTGTGTTGTTCAGCAATGTGTGGTATATTCCAGCACTATTTTTTTTTTTAAATAACCTGTTAAAATTACTAGATTTAGGAATGTTTCAGATCTGATGCTTTCATTCTGTTCTATAAGGAGAAAATATGTTGTTATACAGTGAATTCTTCACTAACTGATGGACTGGTGTCATCTGAGTGTCCTCTTAAAAATGTGATGTTGTAAATTTTGATTGCAATGATTATTTCAGTCCCACTGAAAACATAACACATTTTGCGTGTGTGAGCATTCACAAGCTAGAGTACTTACTGTTTTCTAGATATATTCTTTTAAAAAAAATATGCCTGCAAGTAATATGTCCTGAGGAAGATGTTGGAAGATGTGAATTGAAGCAAGGCAGTGCAAATTTCGGCCATTTCATTAAAGCTGAATACATAGATACCCCTTTGTGCTGGGAACATTTCTATCTTTTTACATCTTTATGTCAAATACTGGAAGTGCAGCTTTATATAATCATTGTAGAAAGGGGAATAAATTTCCCTGCATTAGAGGCCTTTCCAGCATTTAGCCCTAATAACACTCAGTTAAGAAATAAATAATTTGTATGTGTGAGTAGTAGGTTAGTTAAATAAAAGATAACCTTGTGCCTGCAAATTTAAAAAAAAGTTTACCTGACACTATTTTTTTTTTTTTTCATCATGTTGTTTTCTTCTGAATATAGGTGAATAAAACTTGAATCTTATTTATGGTATCGACTACTCAAAGTGTGTATTTTGGTCTTACTGATGAACTTTGTTACATT